ATATACTGTGCTCCTATTTGCTTTTGAAATGATGACAAATTGCGCAACAGCACTCAGCTTTTATGGTATATCCTTGCGAAACTCTTGCTATAAAGTGCAATAAGGACATTCAACTGAGATAATCTTGCCCTTTTAGACAGGAGAGCGCGGAATAACTGAGTCTCGCTGGTGCTTTCGGAAGCATTTATCATTGAACATCCTTGCCTTTATGTTACTGAGTCCAGCTCGCGCCTTGCTAAATAGATATCGGTCTATAAGCGGCACGTAGGGCGTTTTGTTCAGGCAGGGAAACAGATTTTTGTACAATTGGAGCAGTTCCTGTAATTGCTGATCCTCAGGTGACAAATGGGGTAATTTGAGAATATGTTGTGAGTAAATACTCAATTTCACTGGCTTTTCTTGGGTATCGAAGGCAGTTTTTCTTATAAATACGTTCTTTAGGTGGCACGTAGGACACTTTTGTCTAAACAGATATTGCTCCGTAAGCGGCACGGAGGATATTTTGATCAGGCAGGGAAATAGATCTTTGTACGTTTGGGGCAGTTCTTATAATGGACTGTCCTTAGGTAGCACTTAAGGCAATTTGGGGATAAGTTGTGAATGAATGCTTTTTTTCTTTGCTTTCTTTTGCTTCGTTTTTTTTCAATGAGAGCAGTAAGATATTTTCTTTATAAATATGTTTTTTGAAAGATGTGCCCTGGAAAAATTTCCCTTTTCGTTTTTCCGTCTTTTCGGAGCCTTTTCATCATGCGAAACTATATTCGGACTATCAATGTGAAAATATAAGCTCCTGCAAGACGAAGGCGGTCGATTCGATGCGCAACGCGGCTGCGACATGGCTGCGTCACAGCCGAGTCACAGCCGCGTCACAGCCACGTCGTATCTCGAACCGACCGCCTTCGTCTTGCAGGAGCTTATAACTAAAATAAGCTCTTTTCGAAGCTTTCCAAATCCGCGTTCGCTCGAAATTACGTGTAAATGGGCGGGTCCGAAAAGTTCTGGAGTGGATTTTAAGCCTTCCAGATATGGTGTCGCTATAAAATTGATAGATTACTTGAAGGGTTTACTATTGCAGACTGTAAAATCTCAACCCATGGCATTGTGGGACGATGCCTTTGAGCGACACCTAGAGCATGTGTTCGTTGCCGAAAACTTCGTGCTCAAAAATATCAACCAATTACATTTGCCTGGACCACACCAAACATTGCGACAAAGTAGCGCGAGAGTATTCATAGTCATGGTTTTTGGAGGTTATCTCTTTTCGTAGTAAGATTCTATATTCAAATTGAAATTGAAAAATTTTATCCAAATCCTGACTTGGAGGATTTGACAAGTCTTGAGACAACTGTGGCCGTTTTCATCATTGATACCTTGAGGTAAATTCTACCTCCAGATAGTTTTATCACTCATTATCAGCAAGTACCCGTATTCACAAAGTACCTTGAGGTAAATTCTCAATGTAATTTTGCTGATAATGATTGATATAACTACCTGGAGGTAGAATTTACTTCAAGGTATCAATGATGAATACGCCACCTGATTTTGTTGCTGTCGAAAATGATTGTGAGAGGAAAGCTATGTTGTTTGTGGTATACATGTTATGGATGCCCTTCTGCTTCCAAAATGATGTGTATTCTATTAATTTTCTAACAATCTTCCATGAAATGTGCTGAGAGAAGCTGGATGAAGCAAAGTTTTCGAGAGGGTAGTAGTAGGCTGGCGTCTTTTTATTATACGAATGTCTGTGAGAGGCTGGGGTGGGTGAGGGGGGGGGGGGGAGTGGTCGGGGATCCGGAAGAAGCGTGGTTGGAAAAATTTTTTGCCTTAATCTCGCATAGTTATGTTGGGCTTTCGAAAATCCTGAATGATTTGTGAAGTTTATCGTTCTTCTGCAGTTCTCCTTTATGAAATGCTTTTTCACAGAATGCTCTCAGAAAGGAGTAGGAAATTTATGTAGAATTATTTTCAGCAGTAACTGAACCTAACATTGCATCTGCCCCGACCCACGTGCCCTACACGATCGAGAATGTTACATGCTAAGCTGTATGTATGTGCCGCCCTGACATAACCGAACCGCGAAATCTTCCCTGGGAGACCACAAGTGCATGACATTTCAAAAGTGCACAAGACTTGTCCGTAATGGTAAGTGAAAGTTTTGGACGGAACCACACGGATGAAACACCCTGTGCATACCTATCCAATGGTGTATGTACGCAAGTCTTAGTCTGTAGAGGGCCCGGGCATACTTCACGCGATTTCGATCGCAACGCAATTTGGCAATATTCCAACCGTCCATGACTCACGGTAAGCACATTTCGATTGCACAGAAGAATAGGGCATTTTATCAATCCACGTAAGTTATATACGCTACTAGCTGGTTTTCCTGGTCTTGCCCAGGTCACGTCAGGTGGCCTTTGCTCCAGTCCACTCACCCGCTGTATGCTCGTCTCGAATCAACGCATCCTTCCTACCGTGAAAATCGAATGAACTCTATTTATGTTCACACGAAATCATGGAATTGACTTGTTAGCCGGTGTCGAAAACTCATTCTTATGCCAAAAAAATCAATAAATTCATAGAATCTCCGCGAATCGCCGCAGCAAGTAGTGCTTAACCACCCCGGGGTGAATACATATGTGTGCAGAGTTTCAGCTCAATCGGTTCAATGGCGGGCGTTTCTATGACGAACGAACAACTAAACGAACACACAAATTTTGAGTTTCATGTATATTTAGATGTAACATTTGATTCAACTGGCTTGGCACCATTAGGGCGGGGTTTTGTGATCCAGTTGAGGCCGCCCGCGCCCGCGACGCACCTGGGTCTCTCTCGCGCGAGTGCTCTCTGATCATTACCTAGCCTTAATTAGGTCACGAAGCCCCGCCCTTGCCGATGCCAAGCCGGTTGAATCAAATGGTATGTGCAGTTTGCTAGTGCTGGATATGCAGACTTCTGCCGAATTGCCAAATCGCGACGCGACTGAAATCGCTTGAAGTATGCCCGGCCCTTAACATATAAAAGGTTTTGGCAGAAAACAAAAGTACAAACTAGATCAGATCACTATGGATAGCCACAAGCCACTGATACAGAACGAAACGAGACATTATGAGCAGTTGCGAGCATCTTACAGTCTGTGTCAACGACGTGCTCCCTTTCTGATCAGCTCCAGCGCAACGCTGGAATCCTGTGCCTCGTTTGCGGGCGACGGCTTAAGCGTTCAGATCTGCCGCATCTATGAGATCATCGCGCAGTGCTCAGGCGCTGCGGATGCGTGGTTGCCACGGGAACAGGAGCATGTGGTTGACACAGACTGTATGCAGTGCCAAAATTATAAAAACACTCTAAAAAATGCCGTAACTCACGCGGTTATCAACAAATCGATTTAAAATTGTACAGCTATGTATACATCAGCTTACTATCATGAACAGAGCGGGTTTCGTTTTCGTTTACGCACGAAAAAATCAAAAATTTTGGAAGAACAGGCTCAAAGACTAGTAAAACAGTATTCAACCCAAAGTTTCTGTTCATCAAAGTACTTCCTGGTCTCCAAAGTCCTTCCATGTGGATACATAGTCAATAGTGTAAAACAGTGAAATGCTTGTCTGCATTTCACTGTTTTAAACTTTCTGCATCTGTCTGCACGCTCAAATAGACTTTCACACGTTCTTTTATTCATAAAAATGTGTTTGAGAGGAAACCTTCATTTCTCAGCTGGTTTGGAAGCGACAGGTCTTCTTCTATCCTATCCTACTATAATAACGCGCTAAGGCCGTCTGTTTTTTTGTCTGTCTGCGTGTCTGTGTGAAAATATGTCTGTCATGAAATTCATAGGGGAAGCTGCAGCTAAGCTATCGAACTGCAATTCTGCATAACGTACCGCGCCAGCGTGTAGGCCCACTATGCACAAGGACAAGCCGGTTCGATAAGCGGGTCCCTCAAAATTTGCGCGTTAAACGGGTCCACGCACCTTCCGGCACGCAAAACTGGGTCGCTAATTAGATAGACTTTTTGCAAAGTTATGATTTGCCTAACAAGTAACTCTGCGCGCCATGAAATGTAGCCCAAAATGTGCTCAAAAAGTCTGCTTTTTTGCGAAAACAGCGCCAAGAAGTGATAAACGCGTAGATAATCGATTTGGCAAGGTTTTATTTTAAAAACTGAAAAAAATTTTGCATTGAAATATAGCCCAAGGTGACTATTACCCTTATGAGAATTATCAAACTAAAATAAATTTAGTAATCCGTTCAAAATCGCATTTGTTTCCTTGCAACAAAGTTTTTTTTCTCCAAATTACCGATCTTACATGGAGATGCTTCATGAATGAACAGTTGTTTACGATTCATTTGTGATGCTCAGCATTGCGTGGTGAGTTTGAAACTCATTCTCATGCGAACATGAGAAAGGTATACGGATAGGAGAGCCAGTGCGAGCCTCTGCGAAGCAGAGGTGACGCACTGGTCTTATATATGGTTAGCGACGTGAGCATTGGGGAGAAATTCTGGTTTATGTTGCAGTAGCAAATCCAATGACCTTACTGCAGGTCTGAGCTCTAATTTCTGCCTGCATATTGGTTTTGCAATGATCTCGTAAGCGTGAGTACACTACAGGCCATTTTGCGCGCCTAAAATGCCTGCATTTCTAGGGTGGCTAATTGTTCATGCGCAAATTTTACCGCATTTTACTTGCAAGCACACTATAAGCAGGAAATTTACTCAACTGTATGAAAGAAGTATCCTAATCTCCTTGACACAAAATGAATGATACTCTGGCTTCCTTTTTTACAGATGGAGGGAAGCGAAAACATCACTATAGAGAACTACAGCTGCGCTAGAGCCAGCCCCTGCTTGTAAACCACACCATTACGAGAAACATACTGTGCTAGATAACGATAAGGTTCGACATAAAAGCGTGAATGACTTCGATACTGTTCGTTTCTACTTTACCTCTTTACAAAGGTCTGACTTGGCCTTTCTTGGCTAAGAAGCAGATGTGGTATTGCAGATTCAAACTTATCATGGATTCATATGCTACGAATGCTGGTGCAGTTGCTATGCACGGGGCCAACAGGGTCTCAACGAGATCGACAAGGAAATCGAAGAGCAAAGTGCCTACACCAAGAAAGTTAATTGAAAGCGTATGTTGATGCAGATGGTAGCCCAGAGCCGTCAAAGTCCGATGCTTTAGTTAACCTCTCGAATACCTAGCAAGAAGCTAGGCGATGGTGTGCTCGAAGCGCATAAAGAATTTGTCAGGGAGTCTCCAACCTTCTTCGCCTATTGGAAAGAAGAGAATCTACCGAAAAATGCGAAACAGGATGGTAGCTTGTGTGTAACGAATCAACTTTCCATCTAAATGTATTATATAGTAGTGCTTCTTTACGACTACAACCGAGTTGTGCTCACCGGTGATTCTGACTACTATCATGCTTCCTATGTTGACGGATGCTTTCGAACCCGTGAGTCAATGACTCAGAAGGAGAGCAATAGTTGAGAAGGCTTTTTAGGCCAGTATATCATGGCACAAGCACCATTCAGTAAGGATACGCGAGCCGATTTCTTCCGCATGCTAGCCCAAGTGCATCCTGCTGCAATAGTGTTTATGGAAGCACATAATAGTGAAGATGCCAAGTGAGATAAACAAAGCCGTATCCCCTTTTCCATCATCCTGGCCAAATCTGGCTTTTATAAGGATAATCACTTTCCGCTCAACACAATGATAGTTTCGATTAGTACAGTCGATCCTATGCGATTAGTGTGGCTGTTTAAAATATTTTTAAATATCGCACAATTGTTCATTTGAAAGCCTAAACTTTTTTGAAATAGAACTGATGACAAATTCAATGTATTTCCTTAGGCGCACGCCTTTTAATCATTTGATTCGCTTGATCCACTTGATCTACTTCACTATTGGTCAAATCAGTGAACTGACCAATAGCGAGGTCCATGTCCGCTTGATCCAGTTGATCCACTTCATCCACTTCGCTATTAGTCAGTTCAGTGATTTGACCAATAGTGGAGTGGATAAGTGGGTCAAGCGGATCAAGTGCATAAACTTGGCGTGTGCCTAGTAATATGAGAAATTTTTTTAACCACTTCTATACTATTCTACTCGCTACTGAATCTTTTCTAAGAACTACTTACAGGTACATCTTCCCATCAAAAGGCAAATACGGTGGCGTGAGCGTTTCAGTGGAAGATGACGAAAAGTGTAATAGCCTATTGCTTGACCTTTTCCCCAAGCAAGTAACCATACTTTAAGGTGAGGAATACAGCGTGCGCCAAATCAAAGTGGATAAAACCAAGATAAAAGTTTACTGCATAAATGGCTGGGAAGACGAATATGTGCCGCCAAAAGATTTTACCGGTATTCATGACAAGGTAGCTTGCTACTGAGCATTTGTTTCTTCGAAAATTAATGTAACGCTGTAGAATAGTCTGCATTATATCTAATCAGATTCGAAACTCAATTGACCTTGACGACAAATCGCTGCTGATGTTGGTGTGCAAAGATGGATGCACAAGATGCGGTCTGTATGTTTTTCTGGATATAGAAACGGACCGTTTTCAGAAGAAAGGAAGGATGAAACTTGGCGAAACTATCAAGATTTTGAGGTTGGAAAGCTTATTATAACAATTTCCGGTCTCCCTCTTATGGATGCTTAGGTATCAAAGAAGTAACTGCTTTGACAAGCAGGAATTGTTCGAAGCAGCCGCCACAGTACTCACAGATCTGGCAAAGAAGGCTTTGGAAAACGAAACCAGCAGAGATAGCAAAGAGAGCAAAGAAAGCAAAGAGAGCAAAGAGAGCAAATAAATCTTGTTGTTGGCATTTATGAATACGACAATACAGAATTCCATCGGCTTGACTCCATTGAAACATTGGTCGTGAAGAACGTAAGATAAAAGCGGGGGCGGGAGGGGGGGGGGGGCGGGGAGGTTCAATAAGCCTTGAAATGGTTTGGAACTGACCTCGTGACATTGTCATTTCTGAAAATCTATGTCAAGAACTAGTTTTCTTCAAATTTCTGCCCAGCTCAGCAAATCCAAAAAAAGACAATTTCAAATTAAGCTTAGAGCGAGAGAGGATTCCCAACACACGAACTTATTTGAAAAATTCTGTGTACGGTATGAGCTTATCTTGGTTTAAACAATTGAGATGTTCAAAAATTAGCCCCATTTATACTTAGGCCCGTATGCACGTACATCCCCGCTAGGGAGGGGAGGGGATCTGAGAGGGGATGCGTCATATCTCTACGTATCTTTCTTCTTCCTTCTCTGTCTTGCTTATGAAGGTTTTCATAACATTATACTTGCACATAATTGATGCCAGTTTAATGGCGTGATTATTTAGATTTTCACTATTTTGTGTGATCCCCTGGAGATCCCCTGCTGATCCCCAGGGGATCACCTCTCATTTTCAAAGTGATTTATCTTCCTGAAAACTCAGTGAAAACGCTGTAAAATTGCACTGTGGATATACTACGGCACTGCTAAAGATGTTTTTAATAGAAATAAGTGAAATCTTAGGACATCGAAATCTTCGGTATTCCCTGGCTCGAAAGCTAGGGATCATCAATCTTCAGATCCCATTTCTTCTGTCGAAAACATGCTTAGCAGTGCCGTAATATCCTCAGTACGATTTTGTGGCATTTCCATTGACTTCTCAGGAAAATAAATGGCACTGAAATTGAGAATTGATCCCCTGGGGATCCCCAGGGGATCACACAAAATAGTAAAAATCTAATCAGTTATGCCAGTAACCTGACATCAATTATGCGCAGGTATTAGGATATGAGAACCTTCATAAGCAAGATAGAAAAGGAAGAAGAAAGATACCTAGAGTAGCGAGATATGATGCATCCCCTCTTAGATCCCCTCTCCTCCCTAGCGGGGATGTACGTGCATACGGGCCTTAGAGCATTCCCTTATAGAATCATGAGTTATTTTTTGTAATAACAAAGCTTCGCAGTCGATCTTTATCGTTTAGCTGGCGTTCTTTGCTGGCGAAGATGGAAAATAAATTCTTCATGAACTACGGCTATTAACTCTTCGAATGGGCTTGAGAGCATAAAAAAATGACTTAATGGACACAACTCAAGATTAGAAAATGATTAACGGAACTTTTGCGTTTTTGTGGCTCTTTCGCATCAGAGTAATTATCTTTGATTATGAGAAATTTCTAGAAAAGTTCCCAGTTTCTTTCAATTTCTGATTTTAAACGGATGGAGTGTATTGATACGGTAGCAGTCAAATTTTGGTTTTTTGGGGCAGAAATGTAGAAATTTGTGTAAAGATGCATTATCCAAGTGTTGTATCTTAACTTGTTCTATTACGGGAATCTGAAACTCAGCGTACCCGAGTAATTTTTGCTGGGGTGCGACAAAAATGTGGATGCATGGATCAGCATGTTCAAAGAGATTTCCGTATTCTATAATTCATGTGGTTCAAGAATACCAGAGTTTCAGAAAAAGAGCCACAGTTTTGGTCATACCACGCCAAGATCTTCTTTACAAAGCTATGTAATGCAAAATTTTCACAATCAAAAATTACTTCAATTGTTTTACATTTTCGTTTTATGTGGTATTTTGATAATGGTATGTGGTTCAGAAGAAACGATCCATTGCCGGGTAAGCGGCCCATACCCTGTCCAATCTGCTGTAAGATTGTTTCAAGAACTAGTTTTTGGTTGTGTAGACGCTTTTTTGGCACCCAAAACCAAGCATCTCAACCTACGTTTTTTAGGGATAATCAACAGCAAGCACAAAAAAATTGTGTTCTTTTCATTATATCTGTACATCTACAGTGAACTGTATGGAATTGATGCAAGAAAAATGCGCGTTCCTTACCCTACTGCGGCAGAGGAGGTATATACATAAATCTATAAAACATTTCACTCGATAGAGCAAAACAATCTCTGCAAGAAGGTATTTGTGTCGTATTTGTATTTGTATCACAAAAGTTTGATACATGGTAAGTTTGGAAGAAGAATCTACAAATAGCCAGAAATTTAGTTTCTGTTCAAAAAAAATCCTACAAACCTTCAAATTGATCACACTTATTCTACCCCACCAGAGATTCATGAGTATTCCGACTATTTTTTCCGTGGCTGAAGATTCAAAAAAGGAAATATAATAGGTCAAAACCCTTAGATGTCGTTTTTTTGTTTTTTTGTAATAAATTTGATATTTCTTGACAGCTAGAGCTTGAAGAATGCTAAAAACTTATCATTATACTTCCAAATGTTTGTAGTATAGAGGTAGGTATGTGGAACAGTCCAACATCAACTTTTGCAAAGCATGCCAATTTTCTTTGCTAATTCTCTGGGTATATAAAATTCAGTTTTTTCTTCCAAATTTTCCGTGTAACAAATTGCCTTTGTTTGAGGAACAACTTGTAGAGCCTGCGTTGCTTTATTGGATATATGTTATATTTTTTATATATTCTCTGCCGCAACAATATAAGATAAGCTCATTACTTTTGGATCAACCTTATAATTTGATATGGTCATGGTTTGAAATATTCATTCCTTCTCAATTTTTTTGGAAAAGTCAATGTTCTGTGAGATTGTGCTCATGGAAGCGAAATAACAACGAAAGTGCTGTTTGACTTTATTATACACTAGCGACCCTACGGGTCGCTAGCAAGTGGGTCGGAGCAACTATAATACAGTGCCGGACAAAATTATAGGTCCACACTAAAAAATGCCATAACTCACTCTGTTGTCAATATTTACCAGCCTACTATCAGTCATCAAAACGGGTCTCGTTTTCGTATGTTTACTCAAGAAAAAATCAAAAATTTTGAAAAAAGCAGAATTATAGGTCCACCTGGAGTTTTTACTGATTAAAGCACTTTTTTAGCTTTCGAACTTTTTTAGGTATGTACACATTCAAAAGTGTTGGACATTTGCTTTAGTCAAGTTGTGTCATACCTCCAAAAGGACTGATTATCTGCTTTATTTGCCCTGAAAATGCTTTCACACGTTTCGCTCTAAAAACCTGCGTTAAGTAAGAAATTCTGCAGTTTCTCAATTGGATTGGAAGCGACGAGGTTTCGTCCACCTTCTGGATGCTTTTTGACGTGAGCAATGAGGAAAATGTCTGACTTTTTACTACCGACACAAATCCGACATCGACATTACTGCAATCCTGAGCTCAAATTTCTGCCTTCAAACTTCATTTGAGATGTCCTCAGAAGCATTAACTAAAGTAAAGGCATTGTTTCTACAATGAGGAGTCCGTATTTCATGGTTACAACTTTGTAGAGATCCTAGCACTCAAGTATAGTTACTAAAATCACCCTGCAGAAACTGGATGCGAGAAACACCAAAGCTAATTGTGGCTTCGATCAAATTTTTCAGGAGAATCTTGTGCTAACGTACAATACAAGCTGTATCCGCTATCCAGTAAATAAATCACTGTCAAAAATCTAAGTGAGGTAGCACTTGGCAAGCTATTTTGAAAGTGAGTAACACCATCATTACGCTGCACAACTCGAGTTCCGAAAAAGAAACGAAGGGGAGGTTTGCGATAAATTGTGAGTATGGCGTACACTTTTCTTTTGTGTAAAAAATGCTTTTACAATATTGTGAGGTTATAATGATAACGCATAAAGAATTTTAGGGCAGAAACTGAGGCTTAGGCTCCCGATTAAGTCGATGTCGGATTTGATTCAGCAGCAAAAAGTCAGATTTTTTCCTCAGTGATCACGTCGAAAAGCATCTAGAAGGGAGATGAAACGTCGCTTCCGATCCAGCTGAGAAACTGCAGAATTTTTTGCTCAACGGAGATTTCTAGAGCAAAATACGTGTGAAAGCATTTTCAAGGCAAAAAGGAGGTAATCACTCCTTTTGGAGGTGTGCCACAGCTTGACTAAGGCTACTGTTCAACACTTTTGAATGTGTACACACCTAAAAATTCGGAAGCTAAGAAGTGTTTCAATCAGTAATAACTTCAGATGGACTTGTAATTTTGACCAGCCTTCAAGCCTGCTTTTTTTCAAAAATTTTGACTTTTTTCTTGAATAACCATACGAAAACGAGACCGTTTGATGACTGATATTAAGCTGGTAAACACACGACTGTACTAAATTTTGGAATATTTTATTGAGAACAAAGTGAGCTATGGCATTTTTTAAAGTGGACCTATGATTTTGTCCAGCACTGTATCGTTTATTAATGATTACAATTATTTCTACACACATTGCTTCTTTTCTGAAAATATATTTGAAAAAACATTTTAAAAAGGGAACTACTCGAGTAGCGATATTACAAATCATTCAGAAAGCCCTACCATTTCGGAAGCTCTGCCACAATCATGCGAGATCATGGGAAAATTTTTCAATTACCATGCTTTCTCTGCAGATAACCACCCTATGGGTCGCTAGCAAGTGAGTATGGCAGATAAGTTCTAGCGCCTAGGTGACCCTACAGGTCGCCACTGAGAAGGGCAAATAATTTGTAGTGCACAGTTTTCTTACATGTCGCTAGCAGGTGGGTAGGGCAGATAATTTGTTAACTCTACGGGCCGCCAGCAAGTGGGGGCAGATAATTTGTAGCGCCCGTGACCCTAAGGGTCGTTAGCAGGTGGGTAAGGTTGATATGTAGTGCCTAGATTTCTTAAGGGTCACCATCAAATGAGAGCAAATAATTTGTAGTGCCCAGATTCCTTACATGTCGCTAGCAGGCGGGTAGGGCAGATAATTTGTAGCTTGTGTAACTCTACGGGCCGCCAGCAAGTGGGGGCAGATAATTTGTAGCGCCCGTGACCCTAAGGGTCGTTAGCAGGTGGGTAAGGTAGATGATATGTAGTGTCT